TGCCACACATTATGCCTGGTGCTTTAATCTGTCACAGTGCAATCTGCATAGCCAAACAATACTGGCATAAGTCTAAAGAGGTAAGCAGTGTTTATGAGAGCCTAGATCTGTTCATTAAGCACCCTTAACCCATACAGCTGGGCCTCCTTTCAAGCATTCATTTCCACCGACAGATAAGCCACTAACTTGCCAAAGAAATTTTGCTGCTTTCTCTCATTCTCAGATAAAAAGTTCTGCTTAGCCTTAAATAATGGTCCAAAGTTCCAGGTGTCTTCCACTGTACAGGAAATCATTCTGAATTTTTATCAACTAAGCAGCAGTTAAAAGATTGGTATGTCCTGGGTCTGGCCAGCTATAAAACAACAAGTTATCAAGACATCAAGGCATCCCACCACACAGTCCACTCCCACCTGCCAATATGTTCTTGTTCCCAGCTCAATTTTGCCATTTTTTTCTTTGAACTTTTTGAATGCTAGGGAGTGGGTGGGATAGTCACATTTTGTTTTACAATATGGGAGATTCCTAATTTTTAAAATGGTCAAGGATTCTGCCAAGAATTCAGGAACACATCTGGGAGGTCTTGTCTTTTGTTCAGAGATTCTTGTATTAAATAGTCCAAACATCCTCCTCCTTCCTGTATTTTATCTTTGAGAACCATTGAGATGTCCTTGGTACTGCGGTGGCCCATAAATATGAAAAATAAACAAATGACTTTTGGATTTGGTGGTGAAAGTCCAGATACAATAAAGTATTTTCTGCATGCATCAAAGGATGAGAGAAGCAAAGCTGTAAGAAAAGATAGGGGAAAGAAAGAGAGAGCAAACAACGGGTCCACTTTACTGATTCTTCTTCTTTTCAGATCAAAACCGTCATTTCATGGGATCAAATGCAGTAACTGGGTCCAACAGGATACATTAATTGTGTCCTATTCTTTCTTGATGTAAACATGTTCACACAACCTGGCCAACCAATCAGTTACTCTCCTGAAATAGGTTTATGATGTCCAGATCAAAGGGAGGCTCAATATATTTTGGGGGTTTCCACAAGAACATTTTTTTAAGAAAAGGAAGTAGATACCTGTTATGTCCCACCTTCCAAAATAAACAGATAAGGCTGAAAGCAGCAGTCCTCGCAAATAAAGGCAGCAAACAGGAATCTTCACTGATAACAGCTGTAGATAGCCTCCACAAGATAGTCCAAATTAATAGTTCCAACGAAATAAATCCCAGTCCCAACAAGATATTTCAGGTTTAAATCCTCCAAGCCAATATCTTCGGTTCTCCTTGCAAACAAACACTTTGTTCCGGACAAAGTGCAAAGTCATCTCTCTCCCTTTATAGAGCAGCAGCTAATTAGTCTAATTACTGATCTGCCCTCCTCCTGTGCTCCCGTTGGTTTCTTCTTGTAAGGAGACGCCTGCTTCTGACATCCACCCAGCAATCATCTAAATTATTATCTTCACCTGAAGTCTCCATAAGTTCCTCATTGTCAGCCGTTCCCGGCTGATAACCTGATTGAGAAGCAGAGGAGGTTGAAGGTTCAGGCCGGTCCTGCAAATCAAATGTGTCCTCCCTTGTAACATTCGTCTCCTCCTCTTCATTGAAATCACTAAAACTTGCTGATTCATACAAGTCCTCCTCGCTGGAGCTTTCATTCAAAAAACCTGTAGCTGATGCCGGAATCACAACACTATCCCTCACCGCAGAGCCCTTCCCCCAGGTCTGACGATCCGGATGCGGTTTCGAAGGGAAGCGTGCATGAAAGTCTCGAAGCAGATCCGGACCATGAAATGTAGACGCATCCGTCCAGGAACAAACCTCCGAATCATCTACTCTCCTCCCGACCAAGTACTGGAATCGACCCTTGAGCCAACGGGAATCAAGGACGCTGACCATCGTATCGTCAACAGCAGCCTCCTCAGGGGGCGATGATAACGGAATCGTTCCAGCAGAGTCACGTAGACGACAATCAGAAGAATCAGGAATCAAGAGAGATCGATGAAAGACGGGGTGAATATGCATGGAACGCAGCAAAGTGAGGCGGTATGCCACGGGGTTAACAACTGCCTCAATCGGGAACGGACCAATAAACCGATGATCAAGTTTCCTAATAGGGCGATCGACCTTCAGATGTTTTGTAGATAGCCACACTTTATCACCCACAGCTAACGGAGGCGTTGCCCGACGGGACCGGTCTGCAAACCGCTTATAATCTTCTTTTGCCTTGTTCAATTGTTGCATCAGTAGACGGCGAACTGCGTGTAGTTCTTCCAAAAACTCTCGGGTCTCAGGAACCGGGGAATCCATCATAGTTAATGGGAAGAAATGCGGATGATAACCCATATTTGCAAAAAATGGCGTGACACGAGTGGAGGTGTGCTGCGAGTTGTTAAACGCGAATTCTGCTAATGGGAGATATTTCGCCCAATCGTTTTGTCGCAAATTTACAAAACACCTCAAATATTGAGTAAGAATCCCAATCACCTTCTCTGTCCCGCCATCAGTTTCTGGATGGTGCGCTGACGCTAAACATACTTTCACTTGCAAAGCCGCCATTAACTGTTTCCAAAATTGCACCGTAAACTGGACCCCACGATCAGAAACCACTCTATCCGGCAGTCCATGTAGACGAAAGATATGCTGCAAAAATAACTGAGCCGTAGTGCGGGACGATGGCAATTTCCGACAGGGAATGAAATGGGCCATTTTAGTCAGCATATCCACTACCACAAGCACTGTTGTGAACCCCGACGAAGATGGTAAATGTGTCAGAAAGTCCATGGAGATCGCTCCCCATGGCCTACTTGGAGTCGGCAAGGGTTGCAAAAGTCCAGGGGGTGCACCTGACGCCGCTTTCGCTTGCCTACATTGAACGCAAAAAGCGACGTAAGAGGACACATCATGACGAACTCGAGGCCACCAAAAAGTCCGGGTGACCAAATGCAAGGTTTTGTGAAAGCCAAAATGACCAGCGGCAGGGTTATCATGACATTGTGTCATGATGAGAGCCCTCAACGGTCTGGTAGGCACATATAATAAACCCCGATGTCGAAGCAGATCGTCTTCAAAAGACCATGGAGAATTAGGACCAACGTCCCCCCGTCTCTGCTGCGTCCACGCATCCAAATGTTGCGCCTCTCGTAGTCGGGCCCGCAAATCTACCGGTTCCTGCAGTACGGCTAGAGATTCCAGTGGTAACACCGTCCGTAAAGGAAGAGGATCTTCGGCACAAGTATACTCCGGTTTCCGAGATAACGCATCCGCCCTCCGGTTCTGTCCACTTGGAACGTAAGTAACAGAGAAATTGAATCTGGCAAAAAATAACGACCAACGAATCTGCCGTTGATTCAATTTCCTAGCCGTGGTCAAATGCTCCAGGTTTCGATGATCCGTCCGAACCTCCACCTTGTGCCGAGCCCCCTCCAAATGATGTCTCCAAGTCTCAAAAGCAGCCTTAATGGCTAACAACTCCTTTTCCCAGATGGTATAGTTGCGCTCCGAAGCTGTAAGCTTCCTAGAATAGTATGCGCAAGGAAACAGAAGTGCGCCATCCTCCGAAGCTTGTAACAGCACTGCTCCGATAGCGACATTAGAAGCATCTGTCTCGACCACAAATGGACGATCCGGATCAGGATGCTTCAATATCGGTTCGGTTACGAATGCTTTTTTCAAAGTGTCAAAAGCCTGTTGTTGTGGAGGCCCCCACACAAATGGAACCTTCTTATGGAGAAGCTGAGTTATGGGGTCCATTATTTTCGCAAAACCTGGAATAAAAGTCCGATAGTAGTTGGCGAATCCCAAAAGTCATTGTACATCTTTGACCCGGCGAGGAGCTTCCCAACTACACAATGCCTCAACCTTTTTGGGGTCCATAGCAATGCCCACGGGAGAAATGATGTGTCCCAAGAATTCTATTGATGACTGAAAAAAGAAACACTTTTCCAATTTAGCATAAAGTTTATGCTCCCGAAGATGCTGAAGCACTTGACGAACCTGCTGAAGATGTTGCTCTCTGGATCTTGAATAAATCAAAATGTCGTCCAAATATATGACAACAAACTTATCCAGCATGTCTCGAAAAATATCGTTCATCAAATGTTGAAATACAGCAGGAGCGTTGGTCAAACCAAATGGCATGACGGTGTACTCGAAATGACCATAACGAGTGCCAAAAGCCATCTTCCACTCGTCTCCCTTACGCATCCGAACCAGATTGTAAGCTCCACGTAAGTCAAGTTTCGTGAAAATAGTAGCTTCCCGTAACCGCTCCATCAATTCGGGAATGAGCGGTAAAGGATAGCTATTTCTTACGGTGATAGCGTTCAAGCGTCTATAGTCACAACAGAGACGAAGTTCTCCCGACTTCTTCTTGACAAAGAGAACGGGTGCCGAAAGAGGGGACGACGAAGGTCGAATAAATCCCCGAGCTAGATTTTTATCCAAAAACTCTCGAAGTGCAACTAATTCGGGCTCGGACAAAGAATACAACCTCCCCTTTGGCAATGGAGCACCCGGTATCAAATCCACGGGACAATCGTAAACACGATGTGATGGTAATTGGTCTGCCTCCTGTTCACTGAAAACATCGGAGAAATCCGACAGCTCTGAAGGAATCGAGACAGCAGAAGCGACAATGTGTTGGCCTGCATAGACATGCCTCAGGTGGTCCACACATTGCAGGCTTGGAAAAGAAACAGCATTCTGCGCCCAAGCCACCAACGGATTGTGTAAGCGCAACCAGGATACTCCGAGCACCAAAGGAAGATGGAGGTTCGAGGTGACATAAAAACTTATCGCCTCCTCATGATCCCCAATA